ATAGGTTTAGGGAAGTCTGTACACTAAATTAACTTGCAACTTAATTTTCTTAGGGACCAGAAGATTACGTAATATTTTGTCCAAATTTGGTCAATTATATGTAAGTAATATGTTGGAACATGGTTATAGAAATATGTTTTTCATTAACATTTCTACTTAGTCCAATGAGGTTGTAAAGGATTATTTATTGAATTTGAAATGGATTTCTCCCAAAAATATCACAGTACTGGTGGATGTGAAAACCAATTTTCTTTTTTTCTAGTGTGAAATATGTACACTTTTTTGGGGGGGAAGGGGAATGATGTAAATGTGGGCTGGTACATTTTTCATTATGAGACCAGAGCATTTAGCTGTACAATTGATGACTTTTATATTTTTATATTTCTATTCTATACTCTTAAATTGTAGGAGGCAAATGAAGACAACCATATCTAATGCATATAGCTAATTTGTGATGTTTTCCTATAAATATGTGAAGAGTGAGAGGGTGGCTTGGTAGCACCTGGGAAGGCTTTGGTACTCTTGCCTTCAACCTAATATGGGACTTAGGATTCAATGAGCTTTATCCTATAAAAAGTAAATCTAGTTTCTTTTACATTAATTCACTATTATTTATTATTGATCACCAACTTTGCATAGTATTTACTCAGTTTGAATCAGTTCTGTATCTCACATTATTTTAGATCAAAATGTAGTTTAACCCCTTGATGACAGGTGAAGGAAAAAAACTCTACGCTCTGGATATCAATGGCAACACGCTGACTTTGAGCGCACGTGTTTGGTACATCAAGCCGAATCACCGGCTTTTAGCGCTTTAGTGAGCCGCCGCAGCGTACAACTGCATACCCTAGATCCAGTTGTTTGTAATGACACCTAAGGGTGTGACCAGTAGGGAAGGGGTTAATGGGAAATTTTGACATTTTGGGACAAAAAATATGTTGGTGTTATTTTGCATTTATGAAAGCTTTCTTAATATTTAAAAAAGAGAGAAATATTGGTTGCTTTTTGTACACCAAACAGATAATGAGAAAAATGAAACCACAAGTAAGAGGTTAAGATATAGAATGATTTAGTATTAGGTACAAGCTTGAGGTAGAGTTTACAGTCTTTGTATTACATTGCCTTTGACTACTTACAAAGAGCAGAGAATTGATGAAATGTTTGAACTTGCAAGTATTTTAGCTTACCTTAACTCATTTTATAATTAATTATTGTTATAAAATTATCATAAATCATGGTCCTGGATTATTTAGGGAGGTGCTTTGTCTCCATTCCCTGGAGTATATAGTGCTGATTGGGCTAGTGTCCTGACTTGGCTGGTGCATCTTATTTTCCTTTCCAACAAAGTGATATGATTTCTTTTGTATCACTTGTATGCAAATCATGAATTAACCCAATTGGCACATATGACAAGAATACAGTCCATGCCCACTGTAATAAAAGTTCATCTACTGTCTTTACCCATAAATGGCTCTACAAGTGCAGTCACGAAGGAGTCTGTTATTAATCTTATCTATCCCACCTGTTTACCCTTTTCCTTAATTTTTTGAAAGCTTTATTTGTATTGTATTATTGCTGTTAATGTTATT